ACTAGTTTCAATCTCTGAAGCATTAGGCTGAGCCTGCTTTTTCTTTTCTTATGAGGATGAGCAGGATTGAAGGTGAGAAGTGAGAATAAACCAGACTACACTGTGTTTATCTCTGCAAGTCTTCACTTTTCGACTCAATCTATATTAGCATCTTTCAAGACAAAATGGGCTTTTGAGCAATTGGGCCAAGGCCTACCTATCACCCCTGAGTTTTTCCAGGTGGGCCTGGTTAGTTTAGCGTCTTTGATCTCTTTGTCTTCTCAGTTGGGCTATACAGATTTCCTCTGGACTTTTGTGTTCCTATAAGCAGTTTGCTTTGCAATTCCCATCACCCTTTACAGAAACTGAGAAGAGACTTTGATCTCATCTGTACAAGGTGTGCTCACAAGGAAATTACCACATGGCTACAGCATCATTTACGCTTTATGGACAAACTGACGTAGTATCTCTTTCTAGTACACCAATAAAACAGTTCCAGCTACTTAACCATCTTACTACTCTATGTCTGATCCTGCTGTTTCCAGAGACAGTTTATTATTGTTTTTTTTTTATATTCTGATGTTTTAGTTACTTTCTAAAAAAGATTATTTATTTACTTATTTATTTTTGTGTGAGAGGGAGAGAGAGAGTGCACGAGCAGGGGCAGAGGGAGAAGCAGACTCCTGGCCGAGCCAGGAGCCCAACACGGAGCTCCATCTAGGGTCCTGGAATCACGACCTGAGTCCAAGGCAGGCACTTAACCAACTGAGCCACCCAGGTGCCTCCAGGTACATTTTTAATGGGCAACTCAAGACACAGTAACTACCTAAGAATTCCCATTTTTAAGCCTAACTTATTCATTCTTGGTTGGTATTCTTCTCATTGATTGTTCTAAATTAAGGTTACCAGATCTCTGGGGATAATTCATAAAGAAACACCAGCTAAATTTGAACTTCACATAATAATAAATGCTTTCTTTATAAGTATGCCCCATGCAATATTTGGGACCTACTCTTACTAAGAAATTATTCATTCTCTATGTGAAATTCAGACTTAATTCAGTGTATCGTGTTTTATTTTGCAACCTTATCATAAATGGGAATTTCTGCTCTGCAGCATCTCCATCCTTCAATCCCCAGAAATTCAGGGGTTCAGAGTCCAAAGAGGGAGAAGGGGATATAGGAGTAGATACTTGGCTTTCATTATTAGGTCTTTGGTAATTTCTGGGGTTTTAAACCCCCTTGGAAGCCTAGAAAAGTGACCTGAGGCATTCAGTGAAAGGAGAGGGACCCCAGGAATGAGGTTGCCCCAGGGATGAGATAGCTCTTCATGACATGGTTTACACATCCATTTAAATCAATATCAACTTGTCCAGACCCCAGCAGGCCTGCAGCAATAGACACCAGTGAGTGTGTGGTCCTTGAACTGTTCATCTAGAGTCCGTGGGTGGGTCATGTTGTACTGTATGCTATCCTGATAGCGTGTCTGGCCGAGGTTACTTATCATACTATAGCTGTTTAGTGAAATGGAATTCTGCTTGTAAGATGTTGATATGACAAGGAAAAAGATTCATATTTCAGGATTCATAGCCTCTCCCCCTCCTCACCTTGAAAAAGAGAGTTTCTTTTCATCTGCGCTCTGTCTCTGGTCCCAGCATTGCACGGGACCAGGTTAATGCACGAGGAAGGGAATTAATACAGCCAAGGCCAGTTCAATTCATCTCAGGAAGCAGCACGATGAGAAAATACCAGATTGAGAAGATGAGAGGGGTAGGCAGAAAAAGAACAGGGTGCTCTGTGTGTGCAAGGAGGCCTGGGAGAGAATGAGAAAGGGGGCTTTTGGAGGAATACAACAGAAAAGGAGGAGGTCTGGAAGCAGTGTTCCTGCTGGACTCCATGAAACACCAGAGAAGAGAAAGAAAAGATTAGAAGTTGTGCCATGGCTTGTAAGATTCATCCCCCTCTTGGCATTTTTTGAGAGACTGTGGTTAATATTATTTTTATCTGATGACTTTTGCTTTCACAGAGATTTCCTCTGAGTGTGAATGGTCCTGAAATACACGTACATGTAACCCAGCTTCTGCTATTGACAAAACAGGGGGAGGGAGGGTAAAGCAGGGCAGTAAGGATCCGTTAAATTCTGATCAGACAGTTGTTGGGTAGCAAAACTGTAGAACTTGTATCTCCTGATTTCATCATATACCATTCCCTGTTGGGGGGAGTAGGGGGGCTAGAACTGTTATTCCCAATGGGAACACTAAAAAACAAATCAACCTTATCTATTCATGTCTTTGTGACATTATGGATTTTCTCTCTACCTTCATTCCTTTTCCTCACGTAGTTAGGTATGTATGTGACATAATGTATATATGACATGAGCATGAGAGTTTAACTTATATTTTGGTCATGCAAAGTAGAACTTACACTCCAGATTAATGTGTTTTTCTTCCATAGTTGTCAATGTGAATGCTTCAATGTTTGCATCTGTGCATTATTTCCAGATATTGCATTAACTTTGACACTGCATTGTTCAAAAAAATTGGGATCTCCTGTTTTGGCATAACCTTCAGAGTCTATGTCAGATTACTTTGATTATCTTCAGTAATGGGAAATCTTCATCCTTAAGGATGCATTTGACTTTTGGAAACAACCAAGGATAATCTGGAACACGCTTTGATGGATAAAGTACATAATCATAATAGATAACGCTTCTGGGGGTGCCTGGGTGGCTCAGTGGATTCAGCGTCTGACTCTCGGTTTTGGTTCAAGGAATGATCTCAGATTCATGGGACTGAGCCCTGTGTCAGTGAGGAGTCTGGGCTCTGTGCTCTGTGAGGAGTCTGCTTGAGATTCTCTCTCCCTCTCCCCCTCCTCCTGGCCCTGCTCACATGTGCTCTCTCTCTCTAAAATAAATCTTTAAAAAAGAAGATAACACTTTGGGAAAAAACAACACAGGAAAATTGATGAAGCTTTTTGTATCATTCATAAACGAAAAACAGCTATAAAAATAAGGTATTATAAGTTATTTTCGAGCAATAGATTGAGTTGAATGAAAGTATAGTCTACTGAAAAACTATTTCAAAATAACCATTTGTTTGGAACTGTGTTTACTTTTTCATTCATCTATACATTCAGCATAAATTCAGTAGATATGCCTTGAGGACCTACCCAATCTTAAAACGGTAGCTGTGAGAATACCAAGATCTTAAAAAAGGAAAGAAAAAAAGGAAAACTTGGTTCTTGTCCTCAAAGAACTTCTAATTCTATAGAAAAATATTTATGTAAACATTATCTTAGTATGCAGATCTTATCTGAAACCTTTCATGGGTTTTAGAACTCAGAATATTTCACATTTTTACAAGGTAATAGGAGGAGATTCCAATCACTGTGGCTACAGAACATTACCTAAAATTTTGTGCCTTAAAACAAAAACATGTATCTTTCTCATGAATCTGTGTTTGGGTCAAGGCTTGGTATCAGCTTGTCTTTGCTCTGCTCAGCCAATAGGTGGGGGCACTTGAATATCAAGGATAGGCATCGTCTGAAGATGTCAGTTCATTCTCACATCTGGTCGTTGATGCTGGTTGGTTGTTGATGCTGGTCGGTCATTGATGCTGGTTGGTTGTTGATGCTGGTCGGTCATTGATGATGACTGGTAATTGAGACCTTGGCTGGGGCTGTGGGCTAGAACAGCTACAGGTGGCCTCACTACATGGGTGAATTTCCTCACAACATGGTGGCTGAGTTCCAAGGGCAAGCATTTTGAGAGTGGAATGGAGAATAGGTAGAAGTCATATCACCTTTTGTGACCTAGCCTTGGAAGTCAAGCAGTGTCTCTTCTACTACTTTTATTCATAAAATCTCTCCCATTTTCAAGGGGGGGGAGTAAAAATAGACCTCCCCTCTTGATAAGTGGTAAAGTTCTAGAAGAACTTGTGGGATGAGACACGTTGCAGTAGCCATTTTTGAAATGACGCATAGGGTAGAGGTACATGTACTATGTGTTATATACTGTTACCAGTGGGGACTGAGGCTTCACTCTGCAGTGAAACCCATTAATATTTCTGCAGCAAAATTAATGAATATTAATACAAAGAATAAATTGAGATTATAAATATAGGTAGTTCAATTCAGATCTTATCCCCCCAAAATTTTCAGTTTTAAGAGATTTTCTGATTTAATTCAGACTTTCTAGTAGCTGGTTTTTGAGCTGTCATGTAATTCGTGCTGATGGGAGGCCATAGGTATCTACAACACATCTGAACGAGAGACCATAGGAGAACTGGAGGAGAAAAAAATCTTCATAGGACAGGTAGCTGAAAGTGGATTATTTAGGAAGGGTGTTCCAAACCAAAGAAACTCCAAAAGAATGGATGTCTGAGTGGAGAAAAGCAAGATTTTCAAAATAGGTAGAATGTATGCATTAGAGAACACAAGAGGCCAGATCATGAAGAATCTTGGATGCCCTATTATGGAATTTGCATTTTATCCTGTAGAGACAAAATGAAGCCAATCAGGGGTTTTAAGCAGGAGAGAGCTGTGATCATATTTCCCCTTCAGAATGATAATTTTGGTGACAGACAGTAGATTGAGGCGGATGAAGATAGGGTTCACTCAGGAAGCTCTTCAACAGGCAACCAAAACTTATGATCACCTGAAATAAAAGCAGGAAAGAACTGTTGCATTTAGCTGCCATTTTCTTTTGTGCTAAGATCAGCATTAAGCATGAAAATGTGATGTGGAGATGGAGAGGAGATTGTCAGATTGTCTCTTATAATTAATGTTTTTATCCAAGTAGTGCATATATCTTCTTTACAATGTTAACTAGCACAAAACATAGATTAAAAGCCAACGTGCACCATACCACATCACATTACCCCAAATCTTATTCCTTAGAGATTACCACTTTCACCCCTTTAAATGGTTTCTTCTGGGATCTATATAAGGTGCCGCATCTGCTGCAAGTAACAAAATAAACCAATTTGAAAATATCTTAAATAATAACACTTATTCTCTCAACAGGCTGTCCAGAATGGACAGGCTTCAGACACCATATTTGCTTCCATCTCAGCTGGCTCATCATGATCATAAGATCAATGCTTCTGTTCCAAGAATCATATGAAAAAATCCATTGTAAGAAGAGGGACCATTCTTCTTGTGAGTCTTTGGGGGTTTGTTTTGTTTTGTTTTCATTTTTCTTTGTTTTTTGTTTTTTTAGTTTATTAGCAAATAATTTTTTTTTTCCAGAAGCTCTCTAGCTGCCTTTCCCTCCTGTGCCTTTGGCTAATTTGGGTCACATGCCTTGTTTGGATTCTGTATTGTCAACTTGGCATCACCACCACCCCTTCTAAAGTCTCCTTTCCTTTGAAGAGAAGCCAGGAGCTACATTTGCTAGATTTCCCTTTGTTGTATGGTCCCAGGCTAGAGTGTACTGATGAGAGGCAACCTTGAGCCAAAGTAATGGAGAGCTCATTATTCTCAGACAGTTGCAGCCAGAACTGGGGAAACTTCAAGGTGAGTTTTGAAAACCACCTGCTTGAACGCTTTAGGTTGAGGAGGTCGGTAGCAGTTTCTCGGTAGAGAAACTGCTCTTAAGTTTTTTGGGGGGAGGGGGAATAAGCCACCAATTCCCTGTATTAAAGCCCTTTATAGCTAGCTCTGGTTTTATAGAATGATCTATGACCCTTCCTAAACATAGCACCAATGCAAGGGAAATGAATTACAACACTGATAGACAAATCAGGATTTAAGTATGATTCCAGTGTGGAACACCATGGTAATATGGGGAAATTTGACTTCAAGTAATGGTAGTGTAGCTCGGTCAAGCTGATCTTCCTACAGATAACAATGATAGAGTCTGGATGGGAATGTTAAAAACCAACTATCTGAAGGCATTGGACAGAGACCAAACACAAGCAGATATTGAGGAGTCTACCTTTAAAAGATTAGAATTACACCACTGTAGTTTTTGAACTTGTAGTTTTTGCTCAAAGTTGTTCACCAGTCCATTATGTGGCTCAGAATGAAAACCTTACTGAATATTGGTGTCAGAGTATAGAGTTCAGGACTGGAAGAGCAGCTGGGGAGCTGCGAGGGTGTATCCTAGGAGGGAGGAGGTCATAGAGGTTGTGAACCTAAATCTTCATATAAACTCTGCTGAATTTCTTGTTCAGGTGCAGAAATATGCATCAGTAGGAGAGACCACATAGAGTACAAAGAAAAAATGACCACTAGAAACTGAAAGAATTAAGCAGAGATTTCAGCTATCACCCAGAACAGAGGAGACAGACTTAGGAGTTTGAGTCCAGCCAATTTAACTCCCTGCTAGAACAAAAATCACTCTTCTTAACAATGTAACAGAATCCAGAATTTCTACAATGTATAATTTCTAATGTCTAGTATACAATAAAAGTAGCCAAATGTGTAAAGAAATGAGAAAATATGACCCATATGCAAGAAGGAAAAAACAACCAAAGAAAACCAAACCTTACATGGTACATTATAGACAGAAACTTTAAAGCAGCTATTATAAATATGTATGAGAACTTATGGGAAAATATAGTCTTAATGAATGAACAGATGGAGAAACAACAGCAAAATAGAATGAAAAGTCCATTTTCCTCTGTGCTACTCTAACAAAAACACCATAGCCTGGGTGGCTTAAATAACAAATATTTATTTCTCATACTTCTGGAAGCTGGGCAGTCCAGGATCAAGGTGCCAGCAGGTCTGGTCTCTGATGACATTCTGCTTACTGGTTCGGAGTTGGCCATCTTCTCACTACGTCCTTGCCTGGCAGAAAGAAGGAGCTCTCTGGGGCTTCTTGTACAAGGGCACTAATACCATTCACGAAGACTCCACCTCATGACCTCATTACCTCTCAGAGGCCCCACCTCCTCTAATACCATCACACTGGGGGTTAGGATTTCAACATGTGAATGGCAGGGAGAGACACATTCCATCTACAGCAGACTCAAATGAAAATTCTAGGTGAAAAATACAGAAACTAAAATGAAAAACTTACTAGATATGCTTAGTGGCAGATTAGGGAATGCCCAAGAATCAGTGAATTTGAAAGCAGATAAATGGAAATTGTTCAAATTCCAGAAAAGGGAGAAAAGATAGAAGAAATATGAATGGATTTTTCAAAGAGCTCTGGTTTCTTAAATACGAGCAGTCTAATACATGTGATTAGAATACTAGGAGCCAAGAGAATAGGGAAGAAAAAATATTTGAAGAAACAATGGCTGAAAACTTAGCAATTTGGTAAAAACAATAATGGATCCAAGGTCAGTGAAGCACAAACAAAATAAATACAAAGAAAACAACACTAGACACATGACCAACTGTTGGATTCTAAAGATAAAGAAAAAGGAGTCAGGAGAAGAATAAGGCCTATATGTTACTTAGAGAGAAACAATACAAATAAGGCAGACTTCTCACGAGAAATAGGGAAGACCAGAAGTCTGTGATACACACCCAGATCACTCAGTGGAAAAACCCGTTGCCCCAGCTGAGAGGAGTGCCTTTAGCAGACAACCTTCCATTTTCAGCCCCGTTAGGAGGGATTGACTCAGCTGTAGAGCACTGACTTAAGATCAAGCCTCTTCCTGGGATACCTACAGCGGGTGGTTGATCAGGGCGGGACCTGACCATCTTGGCCCAATGCAAGACAAATCTGAAGGGCCATTCTTGCTCCAGATCTCCCCCCGGGGCGTTGGCTGAGGCTACCGAAGGACACGCATTAGAGCTCAATTTTTCCTTCTGACTACTCTTGCTTCCTTCTCCTTTCCACAGGTTTTGATACCAAGGAGACTCCTTAGTAAACATTCTGCTGGCTCAATTCCACCTCAGAGTCTACCTCCTAGGAAACCCAACCCATGACGACTATTGGATAACACCTTTAAGTACTAAAATAAGTACAGCTGTTAACCCAGCTTCTATATGCTACAAAATTATCTTTCAAAAATGAAGAAAAACAAGGATGTTTTCAGATGGACAAAAGCTAAGAATCGGTGTGTTGTGCTATAAGAAATACTTAAGGTAATTCTTAAGTGGGAGGTGAATGACATCGGATGATAACTTGGATTCAATGGAAGAAATTAAGAGCACAGGAAATGGTAAATTTAGGGGTAAACATGAGAAAATACACACATTTTCTTTTCTTTTTTTTTTTAAGATTTTATTTTAAAGTAATCTCTATACCCAAAGTGGGGCTTGAACTCATAACTCCGAGATCAAGAGTTACATGCTCCACCAACTGAACCAGCCAGGGGCCCCTTGTACCCATTTTCTTAATTTCTTGAAAAAGCATAGGATTGCATAATGCAGCTTATAACATAGTATTGTGGGTTTTATAACATAAGTACCTATAGTAGATATGACAAAAGTCTCACCAAGTTGGGAGAGTGGTAAATAAAACTATGATTATTAAAAGGTTGCTATATTTTATGTGAAGTAGTACAATATAAACTCTAAGTAGATTGTGGTAATATAAAGATGTATATTGAAGTCCTTGGAGTAACTACTAAAAATAATGGAAGATATATAACTAAAAAACCAACAAAGAAATCAAAATGGAATACTCTAAAGTATTCCAACAACCCAAAAGAAGGAAAGAAGAAAGGGAAAAAAATGAAGTGGACAAACAGAAAACAAACTGAATGCATTATTAATGTATAGTAATGATTGTGGGAGCTAGGTTTCTTATCATCAGAGAAGGAAATTATCAATGTAGAAAGTAGAGTCAACTAGTGGTATTGGAATTTACTTATATAAGTAAACACACAATATAATATATGTATGTGTATGTGGGTATATAATATATGTATGTGTATGTGGGTATCCATAGATATCCTTAGATACACACAACTATATTATTTCTAGCTGTGACCACCGACAAGGTTTGAAAACATCAACTATGAGCGTATTTAGAGGCCCAGTCTTGATTTCTGAAAATGTTTCTCAGTGTAAAAGAACCAAGCCTTTTTGTTGAGAAATGACTGATTTGAGGACTGGGGTAGGGAATGTACAAAATGAGCCTGGAACATTCTGTGCCCCAAAGTAAGGAAGTCCCTGAGGAGTGATGGGGATCTGTCAAGGGCCATAGAATCCAGCTTGACTGGGCTTCCCACCGGTGAAATATGGAACACTGTGACTTCAAAATAAATAATAGTAACAAATTGTAAGCCATTGAATAATACAAGAATTCATGAGTCCACAGTTGCTCTGAGTAAATATGTGAGTAAATTGAAATTTGAGTGAAGGAACAGATATCTACATAGTCTTTACTTCTTCATGAAGCACTTATTGATTACAGAGGGGAAAAGTAAGTTGAGAGAGGGAGAAGCCTGCCAGACACCAGATCTTAATCAAATGAGCCACAGCAGCATCCCTAGTAATGGGACAAACAAATCAGAACCACCTGCTAGAACACAATGAGAAGAACACACAAAACATCACTTCCGTGATAACCCCTGTCGAAGATTCATAATTTGCATCTAATCATGAGGAAACAGCAGAGAAACCCAAACTGAAGGACATTATACAAAATAACTGTTTTGTAATCTTCAGAATTGTCAAGGTCATGAAAGTCAAGAAAGGACCAAGGAACTATTCCAGAGAGAAGGTTACAAAAGAAACATGACAAGTAAATGCAGTGTATTATCCTGGACCGTCTCCTTTTGCTATTAAGATTGTTACTGGAACAACTGGTGAAACTTAAATGGGTAGAAGAATTAAATAGTAATGTATTAATGTTAATTTCCTCACTTTGATGATGGTGTTGTGATTATGCAGGAGAATACCCTTGCCTTTAAGAAGTATACACTCAAGTATTTGAGAGTAAGGAACATGATATTAGTAACTTATCTCAACTGGCTTAGGAGGAAAAGTACTGTGCACTGTACCTGCAACTTTTCTGTAAGTTTGAGCTTGTTTCCAAAATAAACAAATACCCACTTAGGAACAAAACCCACAAGATAGCATTAGAATGGTTAAAATAAATTAGAAAGGATGATGGAAATATTGAGAGGAGGGTTCAAAGCAACCAGTACTCTAATAAATTGCTGGTGTAATGTGAAATTATAAAATCATGTTGGAAAATGTTTGGTAGTTTCGTATAAGGTTATCCCTTCCTTTGAGCCAGCAATCCCACTCCTGGGTATGTACCCAAGAGAAATGAAAATGTATGCCAACACAGATACTTGGACAGGAATACTTTTGGCAGCTCTTTTCATAATAGCCAAAATCTGGAACAAAAGATCTCTCAGTAGGAAAATGGATTTTAAATTGTTGATATAATTGTACAGTGTAATATTACTCTGACCAAAATGTACTATTTATACATGAAATAGTATGAGTGAATTTCATAGACGTTATGCTGAGTGAACAAAACTGGAGTACATACTGTATGATTCCATTTATGGAGAGTTTTAGAGGAGGCAGAACTACTTTATGATGCAAAAACTAAGAACAGTTACTGCCTCTGGTGGGATTAACTGCAAAAGGACACTAGAGATATTTGGGGGGTATGTAGATGTTCTATATCTTGTTGGAGTGTGGGTTACAGAGGTACATAAATTAATCTAAATTGTAGACTGTTGACATAGACAATCCTAAGGAATCTACAAAAAAAAAAAGATGAGAATTTAGCAAGGTTGCAATATACGAATTTACTACTCAAAAATGAATTTTAATTTTATATACTAGCAGCGAACAATTGGAAATGAAAAGAATTTTTTTCAGGGAGAGAGTGCGTGCATGAGCGTTGGGGGAGAGGCAGAGGAAGAGGGAGAGAATCCTAAGAAGACTCCTAGCTGAGCAAGGAGCCAATGTGGGGCTTGATTCCATGACCCCAAGATCATGACCGAGGCAAAAATCAAGAGTCAACACTTGACTGACTGAGCCTCCCAGGCACCTTGGAAATGAAAAGCATTATTCCATTTATAGTAATGTCAAAATTTACAACATTTGGGAAGAATTTAGCAAAAGATATGCAAGACCCCTATCCTGGAAACTACAAAATAATTTTGAGAAAAAAAATTAAAAAAAAAATCTCAAGAAATGGAGGGATATACCAAGTTGAAGAATTGGAAGACCCAATATTGCCAGTGTGTCACTTCTCCCCAAATTGATTTCAATCCCACTAGGCTTTTTTTGTAGAAATTGAGTAGCCAATTGTATTTTGGTAGAATTACAAAGGACTTAAAATATTCAAATCATTCTTGAAAAAGAACATTAGAGGTGTTCCTCAATTGTTTAGTGATCATGGCCTGTCCTTTTACCTACAGAAGTAAGATATTAAAAAATAATAATTAGAAGCTTAATGTGTATAAATAGGGCTGTTGTATGCATAGGATTACTGTCTGGTAGGCTTCACTGTAGGCTAATTGGCAGACCCATACTTGTTTTATTGGTAAACTATCAAATGCAAATGTCTGCACATTTTCTCCAGGAGGATAGGGGTACGTGAGGGGTGGTGGTGTGAGGCACTAGCGGTTGGTGGTATAAGCTTGGGAGATGACAGTGGGAAAAGGGACTTCGGATGATATTCACTATGCAGACTTTCATGCAAAAATGTTTCAGGGACATTTCTTCATTGCCTCCCTCTACAAAGTGTCCATGGCCAGAGTGTAGGGTTAAACCTCTCCAAAAATACAATAAATGTCTTACCCCTTCTGTGGGTTGGTAATGGAGTTTATGGAGGATCAGAGAGATTTTTTTTTTATAGACACTTTAATCCCATTCTCACACCCACCTTCTGTCTTATTTGGTACCTCTAATGTCCAGGCCTTCCCAGGGTTCTTTTTGGTAAATTGAATTGCTTCTTGTTGGCATGTTATTGCCAACAAGTCTGGTTGTGGTTTTTTTTTAGCTCTCTCCTGTCTTGCTAAGAAAATTTCCACTCCACCATCTGTTTTCCATTTTCCAAAATTTCATTGATAATACTTATCTGTCACTTCCTTCCCTTTCCTTCTTCTTGTGTGTGTGTGTGTGTGTGTGTGTGTGTGTGTGGTTTTGCATTTTTTAATTCTTTACTATCATTTTTGTTTGGTTTCAGGAGTGAGCAGGTAAAAACACTTTGTTAATGTGATCTTTAGTTTAATCTACCATGAAAAACTGGAAATCCTTCTGAGCTTTCCTAAAAGGTAGTGTGATTCAGAGTGGTAGAGTGAGGGGAGGGTATCACAATGGGAGAGAGATGCCTTAGATGGAGAGAGGGGACAAATACAAAAGGTAGCTAGATAGCATTTTTTAATCCAATCCTATTACTTTATATTCTTGAATATATAGCCCCAATAACATGAATATTTAATCATTCTACTATCCAAAGAATGTAAAAATACCCTTTTTTTTCTGCACGAACACATGTGGATTATTGTAAAATAATATGTTTTACTGCTGCTCAAAAATCAATTCTTCCTCAACAAAATATTAGCAAATCGAATCAAACAATGAATTAAAAAAATGATACACCACAACCAAGTGGGATTTATTCCAGTTACGCAAGGCTAGTTCAACATTTGAAATCAACTAATCCATCACGTCAATAGGCTGAAGAAGAAAAATCACCAGTATATTGATAGATGCAGAAAATCTGACATTTATTCATGGTAAAAACTCTCAAAAACTAGGAATGGAGGGGAATTTCCTTAATTTTATAAAGAATATCTACTAAAAAGCCTACTCAATATCATTCTTAATGATGAGAAACTAGGGACTTTCCCACTTGATTGGGAACATGACAGAACTCTCTTGCCACTCCTATTCAACATCATATTTGAAGTCATAGCTAATGGAATAAGACAAGAAAAGGGAGAAAAGATAAACAGGTTGGAAAGGAAGATGTAAAACAGTCTTTGTTTTCATATGACATGACTGTCTATGTAGAAGATCTCAAAAAATCAATAACAAAAAAACACCTGAAACAAAGGTCATAGCAAGGTTGCAGGATACAAGGTTAATATATAGAAGTTAATTGACTTTTTATGTACTAGCAACAAGCAAGTGGAATTTGAAATTTAAAACATAGTACTATATGGGGCACCTGGGTGGCTCAGTGGGTTAAAACCTCTGCCTTCGGCTCAGGTCATGATCCCAGGGTCCTGGGATCGAGCCCCGCATTGGGCTCTCCGCTCGGCGGGAAGCCTGCCTCCTCCTCCTCTCTCT